AGAATGGGCCCATCAGATTCTCTAGAATATATCGTTCAATAACTCAACAATTAGTTCCTACTTTGGAGTATGGTAGACTAGACTGGCATCAAACCAACCTCTTCACTCAGAGCCATCAGATGGGCTAATCTACCAAACAAAAAATAATAATTAAAATGCAATGAAGGCCGGGCGTGGTGGCTCACGCCTGTAATCCTAGCACTCTGGGAGGCCAAGGCTGGCGGATTGCTCAAGGTCAGGAGTTCGAAACCAGCCTGAGCAAGACCTCGTCTCTACTATAAATAAAAAAGAAATTAATTGACCAACTAATATACATAGAAAAAATTAGCCGGGCATGGTGGCGCAGGCCTGTAGTCCCAGCTACTCGGGAGGCTGAGGCAGGAGGATCACTTGAGCCCAGGAGATTGAGGTTGCTGTGAACTACGCTGATGCCACGGCACTCACTCTAGCCTGGCAACAAAGTGAGACTCTGTCTCAAAAAAAAAAAAAAAAATGCAATGAAAGAGCTACCAAGGTCAAAACACCTGAGGGCCATGATCCTGGAGAGAAGGAAAGGAAAGCGATTAGCCTGACATTTGGCAACATCTTTATTCTTGAGGCATTTTAAGTACTAGCTAAGAGGCTAAAAAGTTGTGAAGAGCTTTCTGCTGTTGAGACAAAAAAATCAGAGCTCAGGGCCCACCAAGAATAAGGGTCCTGAAAATACCCCAAACTTTCTGTTGGAATCACTGTAGGTCTACACCCTAAGAATAAGGGCTAATTAGAAATAAACAATCTCTGTAAAGAGTTAAACATAAATTTAGATTAGCTCAATCTCAGATTGGATTTAGATAATTAGCCTTTATTCTAATATAGGTATGTCTAAGTGTCAGAAGCACAAGTATATCCTCTCTGGGTAATAAGAACATCATCCAGAACCTCAAATGATCTCTTCAATTCTCATATGCAATGCTCAGCATTCAATTAGAGACCATTTAACCAAAACTAACACAGGAAAATATATCAGACAACAGAAATAAACCTCAGGACACCCAGATATTGAAGTTATCACTTACTTGCCAATGTACTGCATACCTATCACAGATCATGAACTAGACAATGAGAATATGGTGATGAACAAAACAGCTATGGCTCCTATCTTCATGGAGTTTATAGTCTGGTGGGGGAGATCAATAATAATCTTTCATTCAAATTAAGAAAAAGGGTCAGTGAAAGTTCATCAGATGGTGATAAGCATGAAACTGTAACATCATTTAACATGGTGGCCAGACCTCATGTGGGCATAAAAACAAGAGCCTTAGAAAGAGAGCTGATCTGTCACAGAGGATAATGAAGTATATTTATAGAAAAAAGCAGAGATGAGAAAATATGCAGGCACAGAGAGAGAGAGAGAGAGAGAAAGTAGCTTCCTAGTGGCATTCTAGTTCCTAGGAAACCTAGGTACATTTCCCATAACTGGGTTCCATGAGATTGCCTCAATACCCTTTAAATCAGCCCTATTTTGACTTGAGCTTCCCTAAGTTAATTTCTTTGCTTCATAACAAACATGATCTCTGACAAACACAGGAGTCATTTATGTAACCTGAGAACTATTATGAGAACTGCCATATAGCCAAAAAGGGAAGAGATATAAATTAAATCTGCTGGATTAGCTTGGTATGAATTCCATCTGATTATACTAGAAAACTCTACTTCTATATGATCAGGCTGACACAGTGTAGTCCTATGCCAATAATGTGAAGCAATTAGAAGGAACAGCAGGTGCCAACCTGTTGTGATTTTGTGCCTTAACAAGGATGCCTTCAAAGAAGTTGAGTTTCCCTGCCCAGACAAGCGAACATCCAAACACAATATTTAAACAAGTTATATTGTGTTGCACTCCTTGATCAAATCACAAAATAGGTTCCCAGTGTTTTTAGCCATGTAGTTGTTCTTTTCTGGAAGTATTTTATTGTGTTTTATCTGGGCAAAAAATCCCTGCCTTTTGCTTCTCCTCCTGCCACCTGTGGCTGCAATTAGAAGACCCCTCTGTCCACGATGCATATATTCAACGTGGTCCAGGAAGGCAGTGGTATGCAGAGGCAGACAGGGCAAAGACACATAAAAGCACAGGAATGAGGAAGGGAGATGTGCAGAAAGGTGGATTGGGATTTGGGAGCTAGCAAAACAAAACCCAAACTAATTTAAAAGTAATATAAGAAAAAGGACACTGGGCAACCGGGCACATTTAAATTCCAAGAGCCAGAACTTCCATACTCTCCTGAGACTGTGACCAAATACCCTCTGCCAGTGGTAATTCTATTTTCTCCTCGCTCATTTTGGTTTGTTTGCAAGTAGGCCAGCTTATATTCATTTACAGGTTCATATCTGGTTTACCTGTACACATACACCCACAAACACATATAGCTCATAAATTTCAATCTGCAGTAAAATAAAAAGAAAAGGGAAAAAAAGAGCAAATGTTTTCTGTTGGTACATTTAGCATTGCAGTTTAAAATTTCATCCATAAATATGTCAGCTCCTTTTTTTCTCATCCAAATCCACAAAAATGAAACAAAAGAAACAAGCCTCACTGAGTAAAATGAGCTAAAATTAGCAAGTGGCAAAGATGATGCCAGTTGCCCAGGGCAACAAATGGTTGATGGATGGAATAATTAAGATCGACAGTAAACTAATCTCTGTTCCTTTATTGAAAACAAATTCCCCTGAATCAATTAGCCTTGTCATGGATACCTTTTGTAAAACAGCTTTGACATCCCTGAACACTTCTCTTTGTTTACAGATTTGCCCACACTTCAGTAAGTGCAAGGGCTGATTTCAAAAGCACGAGATAATAATGGAGGATTCCAATACATTAGGCACTGCACAAGTATAGCCACCATCCTTGAAAAAAATATAAATGTCACAAAGTAGGCCCAGAAGACTTCATAGACTTCTCAAAGACATAATATCCTCAAAGTTTTGCTGATAAGAAAGTCTAAAAACCATCTTTTAAATGAGGCAAGCATGTTAGAATAGGGATCCATTGCCCTACCCCCATAAATGATAGAGTTGGGAGGCCAAATGGTGTTACAAGGACAGCTTGTTATACTCACATAGTCACTGTGGGGTCTGAGACAAAAGGAGAAAGAGAAGCTAAAAGAAACAGAAGGAGAGTATTTCTATAGTCAGCGGTAATGAGTGGGTGCTAACATTCTATACCAAACAGATAACTCTGCAGATAAAGCAGCCACTGCCCTTAAGTTAGGGAACAAATCAAAACTATCAGAGATGGCCAAGGAGAACTGTACACTGGCTTCTAGTGCTTTTGTGACCTGAATTAAAGCAATGGTTGTTACAGTCCCTTTAGAATCTCAGGAATCCTATAGTTAATCAAAGGTCTTGGGGCAGAAGGTTATGATTTAACCATAAACCCTTTATGAGTTATTTTTATAGAAAATCTTGCTCATTCCATTTGTCTACTTTCCTGCTTCATTTTAAGTACAGCAAAAGATAGTCATTTGATGTTTCTTTGGTAACACAGGCTCTTGCAGTGCTTTGGAGGTGGTTCTTCTGAATATCCTGATTGGATATGTTTGGAGAATACTGGTTTAAATAGAATTTCAAGGATTTCTTTACTGCAGAACATTTAGGAGCCTTTAATGTGAGTAGGTGGATTGAGAACAGAGTTGGGAGGTGGTACAGTACACAGTGTTTCCAAAATTGTTTGAGCACAGAGCCCTTTTATCACAAACATGTCATAGAACAATTATTCCACAGGATATACTTCTAGAATCCTATGTTAGAATATAAACGTAGATGTGGAAGGTGCATGACATTAGGCTCAATAGACATGACCTAAAGATGTATCTTGTAAACTGCCCATTAAAAACTTACATACCAGTATTGTATAATGGTAGAGGAAAGAGATTGGGGTTATTAAATAAAGGAATTTGCCTTTTTTCCCTAAAATAATCAAACACCAAAAATAAAAGCTCAGCAACTTATGATATTTAATTATTTCATTACTTTTTTAAACAAGATTTTATTATAACAGTAATAACACTGACAAGTTTTTATATGTAAATAGATTCACTGTATGCATGTATCTTGTAATTTTATTTGTGAAATTTTATCACACTGCTCTAAGATGAAAAGATAAAGCCCTCTAGCATCAAAGCTAAAACCAAGTGGTCCTGACTTGCCCCCAAAAGTTAGCATCTGTCACAAATGTGTGAACCCAGGTCATGATACATCATTATTTTTGACATGAGAAAATACACAGCAAATCACAAGAATGGGCTAAAGTAGGCTAGGGCCATATTATCTACTCACAGAGAATGATAAAAGGGAATAATAACAGGTTTTGCTTCATTGTAAAAGATCAAACCCTTTTTAATTGTCACTGACGGAAGTAGACTGTTCCCCTTTTATTTTTTAAATCAAAATTTATTTTGTAGAGCTTTTTAATGTAATATATGCTCACTATACTATAGGAAGCCTAGAAATCATAAGACATTATTAATAGACACATGACTAAAACACAGTAATAAGTCTGCCACCCACTATGGGCATCTGGGTATGTGCCCCTTTTAATATCTATTGTTTTACAGAGTTAAGATCATATTATGCATATTTTACATCTTATTTGTTTCCTTCACTTACTAATGATCCCATTTTCCCATGTCTTAAAAATAATTCTTTAAAAACGTCATTTGAAATGCCTCTCTATGATTTCCAAGCCATAAACATGCCCATGACCATGAGTATTTAGCAACATGTGGCTCTATTCTTCTTCCCTCCTGAGACCTTGCCCTGGCGAAACCTTTCTGGCCGCACAGCTAGGATCCTGCTGTCGGTGGACAGGCTTTGGAAGCCAGACTGTTGCATATCCACAACCCAGAAACAAGCATTTTCTCCTACACAGTCAATATCAAGGGCCAAAGCTACATTTTTCTCTCAAATTGCAATGTAAAAGTTACCCTTAGGCCTAATACACTATTTGTTTTTGCCAAACTCACCAAACGCAGGAATCATCTGTCCAGTGGCACAAGGCAGAAATGGCTGAACCTCTTCGCTGAGCGCTGTGACATTACAAAGCCTCAATGCTGCAGGAAGCATGGCTGGAGAAATCAGTGAATCACAGGGTGGAGTTTTACTACCAGTACATGTATATGCCTCTGGCCATTTAAAGTCCCTCTTTGTAAATAAATATATCCAGTGGTGAAAAGAAAATGAGTCTTCTTATATTTTTTTCATGTGATTATGGGTCCCATGAGAAGTAATACAAAAATTCTATTATCAGTCTAGGCAGTGGTAGGGAAGCTTCCACCAACCATTCAAAATGCCATCATTACCTAGGATGGGGCCATCTGTTGGAGAGAGAGGGCAGTTCAAGTTGAGTGGGTATTCCTCCCTGCTGGAGACCTCCAAAGGCCTTTTCCTGGGGTCAGAATGAGCTATCAGTAGGAAATAACTTTGAATCACTACTCATGTGGGCTGGATATGAACCAGCCCCCTACAAAGACCGATCTCGACAGAACAGCACTAAACTCCAGGCCCTGCCAGCCGTCCACAGCCCAGGCTGCTGACACTTTTATTTGCTGGCATTTACAAGGTTGCAGCAGCTGAGTCCTGCTAACGTGGCTGCTTCCAACACAGTACTTAAGCAAGGACTTCTTCGCAGGGAAGGCCAAAGGATGCTTCCCTGGGGTTGGGCACTTCCATCAGTCTTGTTCATGCCAAAGGAAACCGCATTGTCCCAAAAGCAAAGCAAAAGCTGAGACTTGACAAGTTCCCCTAATATTTTCACCTTCACAAAGAACACGATTGTCATACACACACACATACACATACACACACACACACACACACATACACCCCTTGTTAAGGTACTTATCACTATTGTTTTTATCTTTCACCTGTAATGAAGAAGAGAAATTTGCAATGTAAAAGTAAAGCTGCCTCCTAAGGAAGATGGCCCCCCATTAAAGGGAAGATGTGAAACCCGGAGGTGGCCCAGCTGGGCTGAACTTTATATACATAAAAATGGGTGCGGAGTCCAGTTTGGAAGGAGACACAGAGCTTAAGTGCACTACATAACAGACAGGAGAGACAAGTTAGCATTTCAAGCCACCATGTGGGGAGAGGTACTGAGGTGTAGATTATGGAAGAGCAAGGCAGAGGATAGGACAAGTGCCAGAGAAAATTTTCTGGTGGATGGACAAGACAGCATTTCCCAACAGAGATGTCTTTGTTTATTTGCTATGATATAAACTTGTAACCTGCAAACCTTTAGTGTAAATTCTGCTAAATGCAACAGCCTTGTTTATATACTGTAATACTGTAGCTGATTGGGAAAGCTAAAATGTATTGAGACCTAGTATATCTTAAATTCTTTGTACTTTATATGTACAAACAAATTGAATCCTTGTAAGGTACTATGAGGTAGGTGCTTTTATTATATTCATCCCCGTTATATAAATGAGGGAACTGAGTCAGAGAGAGGTTAGCAAGCCAGTAAATGACAGGGGTGGGATTTGAACTTAGATGGTAGGAAATCAGGGCCATATGCTAAACTACTACAGTGTACTGCAATGTACTAAATTAAGGAGCAATAGCAATACAATGCAAAAGGGAGATTTGGTGCCAGAAGTTATAAGCCCCTAGAGACAGTCAAAACAACTTAGAAAGGCCATTGGTCCAGTCTTCCCCAGATCTTACTAGATAGAATGATCCTAGCTTTGAGTTACACACACTTCCTCTCATGATTCATTGATTCAACAAATATTTGAATCTCCTACAAGGTGCCTGGCACTACACTTGGCACAAAGAAAACTATGAACAAGGCAAGCCTGGCTCTTGCCCCCATAAAGCTTATAGCCTAAAGGAGAAAGAGTCATGAGGAGTCAATGCCAATATAATATAAACTTGCAAATGATAAAGTACAGTGCGCTTTAGGAACACATACACTTGGAAGGCCAGGCAAGTCTTCCTGGAAAAAAAAAAGAAAAGAAAAAACTGAGTCCTAAAAACTTAATCAGAGTTAGCCAGGAGGAAGGAGGACAAAGAGAATTCCAGGCAAAAGACTCAGCATGTGCAAAGACCCATAAGCAAGATAGGTCATAGTTTGGTAGAGCCAGAACCATTCAGGAGAGAAATGAAAAAGAAATATATTTGGATAGGTAAGCTGGGTCTGGCTCACTTATGCCACATAAAGAAGTCAGATGTTATTATGAGGTCAATGAAAACCATTATAGTGTTTATGCAAAAGAGGGATAGGATTCATTCAGTCGGTCCATAAATATTTATTGAGCAGACCTACTATGTGCTGGGCACTGCTCTGGATGCTTGGAATAAATCAGTGAACAAATCAACAACCCTGTCTTCACATGGCGGGTGGAGAGGGGAAACAATTAACAGTAAATATAAAAAGCAAATTATGCAGAATGTTAGAAGGTGATAGAACTTTATAAAAGAAAAGGCAGTGTAGGGTGAAGTAGATTGGGAATGAGGGTGGGTGAGGTGAGCATGGCCAAATGCAATTTTAAATGGAATTGTCAGGGGCAGGCTTTATGCAGAAGATGACAGCAAAGACTTCATGGTTCTTAGTCTTGGTCACTCGGCTACTCACAATCAACACATGCAAATGGATGATGAGATATTCAAAGTGAAATGAATTCACATATGATTTATGTCCACAAAGTCTTGCTTATCTAACTTAGAGTCTTATTTCAATTCAGGAACATAAAAATACTTTACACTCTAGATTCTAAATTCTAGAGTTCAGTGAACAACCAAAAGCCAGAAATAAACTGAAATTCAGCTCTAACCTTCAGTGTTATCATAAGCTACTAATACCATATGTCTTCATTGGTAGCCTTTAACTACTTGAAACCTTTATACCCCTGTAGCTTCATGCCCATCCCTTTTGAAATGCAGCAGCTTAAAAACATTTGATTTACATCAATTTTTCCTATGGCCACCCCAAAGACTCGCTTTCCACTGGAAGACAAAAGCAACCATATTTGGTCAATTTGGTTTCTTTCCTCCCTTTTTTTTCCTTTTCTGAGTTTATAATTGTCAGGAACAGCTGCGTGCATTGCCAATGCTTTCCCCAAAACTAACAGGGCTCTACATACAAAACATCTATTCTGCTTCTAAATTTGTTTTTAATTATATTACAAGATGGAAAAAGAAATGCCTTAGCTGTTAACACTGGCTCGGTGGGGCCAACAGTAGACATAGAGCAGACACGAGGAAATACTTCAAAATTTTTTTTAGTTTGCCATGATTTAATAGCAGATATTCCTGGCTTTGAGTGAACTCTGCAATATCCCTGTGCGACAGGATAAATGATCGTCTACCACTATTAATTTTAGGTCATAATGTCTGAAATGCCGCTTCAAAAATAAATGCAGTATTTTCACTTTATTTGGTCAGGTAAATACTAAACTATTTTGTCATAATAACTTTACAACACTGTGTTTCACCTTGTCTTGCCTTGACTGCTGAAGGTAATAGGGACCGTTTTATTATGTCCATAAATTGAGTCAATTGACTTATCCTTATATCCTGTTTCCTGAACTTAACGAGAGATTCTGCATCATTAGGAAAACACACCATCCTGCAGCAGGATCAAAAGCAAAGGAAGCCTGATAATAAGTCATTTTGATTTCAGGGAATGTTCACCAGGCAAACTTTCAATATTCTGGCAGAAGTAAAACAAATAACTGGCTTTGCAAAGCATAGTTTGCTCAGAGCTGTGCTTATGCTGGAGACATCCCAGAAGGTTCCTCACACACTAAAAAAAAAAAATCATTCTTTCTGAATATGAGGCAGTTGTAATGAATCTGCAGATTAAGTGGTTTAATGAACGTATCAAATTATTAAATATTTTTGCAAGACAACTTTTAAACAGATTTAAAGAGATTTCTGTGGTCATGGTTTCAAAATTTCAGATTATCACATAGTGTCAAATTATTTCATAGATCTTATTATAAGAAATGAATACTCATGCTAAAGCCAAGCTATTCATTCTGGCTTAAGAATTTTGAAAAATGGGTTTTGGGGGGGTTATTTTGTTTTTGGTTTTGTTTTGTTGTTGTGCTTTCTTAAGTTAGTATCTGGTACACGGCTCAATAAAAAGTTATGTTATGACATTACGTTAATCATGACAATGACAAAAGTGATATGATCTCCCATACTGCATTTAGGAGAATCAGGACCCAACCCACACATACCAATGACAGTGATGATGGCAATAATGATTTTAAATATTAGCTATCAGAGGTTGAAGATTTGTGCTGTGCTGAACACTTATCATGGATCACTTCATTTACTCTTCATAACATTTCTATGAGTTAGGTACTATTATTATTATAACATCTTACACATAAATAAACAATAGCATAAAGAAGTTAAATAATGTACTCAAATTCATGTAGCTGCTAAGTGGTGCCTGGTTCCAAAGCCTGAACTCCTAACACTCTATTTCGTAGAGAAGTCAGGGTCCAAGTCTTGCAGGCAATCATCCAGAGCAGGCTGCCCTGCCAGAAGACACAGACAGCCAGGGCAGCCTGGTAGGAAATGAGCAAAGACTCTGCGTGTGCCAAAGAGCTAATGACAATGGGCGAGGTTGAGCTGAGCAGGCAGGTCTCCTATGTTGAGTTTATTAGAGTCCACACCCCTAGCAGCGATATTTTGGACCTACAATTCCTCTGAGCTTCTCCCAGCTCTTCTGCAAGAGCCATTGGACCTTAGTCCTCATTACTTTATAGAATTCTCAGAATTTCCCTCAGATCCCTTGACCAAAGAATTTGAAGATCGCCAGCTTTATTATAACAAACACAACTAGCACAGCTAGTCTCTAATCTATCACCCAAAATGCTTAAGTGCTGAGGACTCAATTCAATGCCATTGAGACTGGGTAACCCTCAGGCAGTTCCACTGGACAGCAAGCTCAGGAGCAATGATACAGAAACCAACAATACAGAAACCAGGCTATAGTTACATAAGTCAAGGATATTGAAGAACTGAGTGATTATTAATGAATTTAATTCATACTGTAGACCATCAAAGTCCATAATTATTCCCATTCACCACCACAGAGATGTGAAAGTAA